CTTCTCCAAGACTTAAGGACTATGGGTAATATACTGGATGGAACCTGTATTTTTTGATTAAGAGACTAGTCCTACTGATCCAGGAGATGTTATTCCAGCTACTATGTCTCCCTGCAGAGTTACAACCAACTTGCAGTGTGGCTTTTAGGGTACCTGTATCTCACTGAAATATTTAGAATGTCAAGGTTTTATTTATTTTGTGTTTACCTCTCTAGTTTGAGAGGCTTATTTCCTAGAAACGCTCCCAGTTTTCCCTAACATCATTTGTAGGAGATGCTCAGGATCTTGGAGGATCAGACAGGGGAAAACCTAAAGTTTTAACATCTTCTGGTATTTGCTGCTCCTCTCAGTTGTAAAGCTAGTAGTTAACTTTCTATCATAGTGTTCCCAACACTGTATGTCCCTTACTCATCAGGATGGTGCTGGAAAGTGATCAACACATTCTTAGGATCACCAGCAAATGTAATGTTCCCCTCACCACCTTTTTTCCTACTCCTATGACCTTTGTGAAACATAGTGCACACTTTACCTTGTAGTCGCAGCTCTTACGAGTACACCCTTCCCAGGATATATGTCATCTGTTTCCATCTAACTCAGCAGTGAATCCTGTGAAGTGAATTGCAAGATATCAGGTTCTGTTTCTTCTTTAGTATGGCCAGTTTAATATGACATCCTCCAGGTGTACCCTCTTTAGAGTAGTCTTGACCAACCTCTAAAGCCAAATAAATTTGCACTTTCTGGCAACCTCCTCTGAGCTCCTGATACAGTCTTTGTGCTACTCCTGCCCTCTGTGCTATCTCCTTTGAAGTCACCTCCTGCAGTCTTAAAAAATTGATGGCAAGTAAGTGGAGATACTTAATGTTTGAAGTACTGAGAAAATGTTACTGTTTTTTTCCTGTTACATCAAGGTGGTGCAACTGAATCCAGTGCTAACCCTTATGGATATTAGTAGATGCTACTTAACCAATTATTTAGCATGTCTATCGTATGTAAGTGTCTAACATCTGCGATAGAAATTGATTTAGCATTTTAAATTGGATCACATGAAACATTACAAAATGCTGAAAATATGGAACAATTGGCTTGGCCTGATATAATTTGATTCTTATGAACTTGCATGGCTTACTGGTGCTGGCTCTGATAATTAAATGGCTTTTCAAAATGGTCATTGTTGACCTAATTCTATTGGCAGTGTAGTCAGTGGGAGTTTTAATTTTGACTACAATGGGAACAGTTAGACTAACAGATTGCATTAGAAATCTCATGCTGTGTGTTTAATTTCACTTCCTGATACAACAATCTCTAAATATTAAAGAGAATTGTTGCCAAGATAGAAAAGTAGAACATAGCTTTTTTTCCTTTCTGACAGTCTTGGCTATCTTCTGTATCCATTCAGTTACTAATGCGGTAGCCAGGTTACCAGATGAAAAAGAATGCCCTTTTCTCCAAACTTTAGGATGCAAAATTTTGCATCTCCATCTCTGTTTTCAGAGCTGGTGTTGCCACTTCATTATATTTACATTGGTCAACTTCTCTCTCAACAAGCAAACAAAACAATGGCAGAAAAATCCAATGAGATTTGACTGTCTTATCCAGTTTAGGATAAACTTTCATCCTTCTTACGCCCTATTAAAGGTCCATAAATCTCCTGAGTGTTTGGGAATTGCTTTCTTTTCCTGCTCCATTCTGTGTCAGTGTTAATGCTGTCTTTCCCCTACCAACTCTTACTCTCCATATCACTGTTTTGATTTGTCCCACACTGGTATCTGAACAAATTATGAATAACCTGAATTTTGAGCCAGACCCTTAAAGGTGTTTTGACCATTTGTTGGTTCTTGCAGTTTTCCTCCTGAGACAAATTAGTCTGTTAATAATTATAGTATTAAGTCTCCCTTGTCACCTAACATGCTGATTATTTCTGATTCTTTCCCTGCATTTTGCTCAGTGGATTGCTTAGTTCCTTCATTATTATGTTTTTCACTGCAGAAGTTTCCCTGTGCTGTTCATATTTGCTGGTGCACTTAAAACAAAGGGCATTGCAGGACACCTTTTTAGCCCTGTAACAGCACTTGCTGTGGCACATTTTTGTTTCCTTTACTTTTGCAAGGTTATTGAGTTGCTTTACAGAAGAGGCTTTTTTTATGTAGACACCCACACTGAGGGATCTGCTTTTGCAGGTTAATGTTAATTAAACTATCCACTGCAAATCGTTAGCTAATGAGTCTGTAGATAGTTGACACTAAATAGAAAGTAGAGCATTAGATCTTCACCAGTACTTGAGAGAACTTTGGAAACTTTTCATTTCTTGCCGGAGTGCTTCACACTGGCACTGCAGTCGTGCTAACATCTGCTCTCCTCCCTCTGTCAGCAGGCTCTATGTGGTACAGAAATAACACAAAGTGCCACCCATCTTCACTGATCTGTAGGGGTTTTTTTAATTTTCCTTTTTAGAAGGTGCAGAAATAATCTTCAGCTGGCACCAGGGTAATATCAGCTGTTCTAGCTTTTCAGCACTAGACGCTTAAAAACACTCTTGCATGGAGTTGAGCATGGGAGATAGAAATGGCTCTGTAAATTAGTGATTCAGAGTAATCTTTAGTACTATTCCTCTTTAGCACAGGGGACGGTATCTTACACTTCCATTACAGTTAGTAGGAATTCTAGCATTCTCAAAGGATAGTCACTGTTTCTCATTCCCAGTTCTGCTGTTCGAGTTATAGGGCAGTGGCAGTTGGGGTGTGGTGGTGTTTAATTTTTTTTTTTAAGGGGATGTTAAAAATAGATTGCTGTCTCTTGAATCAGTAGAGGCTGTGTCTGTCATAGTGGAAAATGAAGAAAAGTCTAGTCTATGTTTTTTTTCCCTTTTAGGCTTTTTGTATTGGGGGAGGGTTGTATGCACAGTGAATGGAGTACAAGATGGAGTTCTCGCATCAGAAAGTCTTGTTGATTAGAAAAGTTGTGTCCTAAAACATATTTGTGGACGCTAAAAGCATTGGCTAGTAGCATTTTAAAAAACTTGAACAATTAGTTGCTTTAGGTCTCTTGATTCAGACTGTAGGAGAATTTGCACCTTTATTTTCTTTTGTTTGCTGGAGCTAATTCCTCATTCCTTTTAAAACCTGCTGCAGAGGTTCTCTTCAAATGGAGAGTTCTGCAGGGTGTAGTCCTGCTGTTGTTCCTCTTGCGGAAATTTGTCCCTTTCAAAAGCATCTTCTAATTCTAGTAAATGTCCAAATCCAAACCCTGAAAACCATTTTGCTACTTTTCTCCCAGGGCTGCATATCAGCGTGGTATCAAAAACTGCTACACTGACTTTTTAAAAATGTATTTCTTGTCAGACTTTCACTAGCTCTTACTGTGTGTGGCAAGATCTGGAACAGGACACTTCTTTTTCCCTTTGGCCTTTTCTCTTTAGCAGGAAAAGTCGCTATGTCAGCACTCGAGTTCCCAGGATTCCTTCTGTTATTGATCCACATCTTAATAGGCTGGAAGCTTCTGATAAAAGAACAGCAGCAGCTTTTACATTGCTGATTTCAGGAACTCCGCTGGTTACACAGCAACCTCAGGGTGAGGTATGGCTTTCACTGTGAACCGCAAATTCTGCGTCTGCAATGGAAGGAGAAATGGAGCTTGGATTTAGATTTGGTTTTGGTGAAATAGCTTGAAATGCTAACGAGCTTTGCAGAACCACCTCTGCTCTTGTGTTCCTGGTTCCTCAAGTGTGTGGGGAACAGCCACGTAATGGACTTTCTTCTCAGCCCACGTTTCTTGCTCACTGACTTTAAAAAAGCAAAACAAAAAAAATTATAAAATGCACAGCTTGCTGGAGTGGGTTAGGAATGTGCTGCTGGTGTGTTGCATAAGGAATATTTAGTTTCCTAGTGATTCCAAGGCTCTGCATCTAAAATTCTCCCCATAATTGCCTGGGAAGAAGACAAGTAGGGTTGCAATTACAGATGGGGATCTGGACTTGCTACTTCTGCAAGGTCATGCAGAGAGTAAATTTCTGAATGGAGAATAAAGCACTGTGGAGGTCTGTTTCAGAACTCCAGAGTCACTGATGGAGTCTCATTATTTTCCTTGCTGCTTTAGTGCTGTATAGTTACAGGGCCTCTTGTGACCTATGAATGTAATATCAGGAATTTTATTTGCTGGGGACTCTGGAGGTCCTCCAGTTTGGCCTCCTGCTTGTTGTAGGGTGGTTGTTGCCAAAATCAAACTGGGTCGGCCATGGCTTTGTCTAGCTCCTGTCTTGAGACTTCCAAGGATGGCAGCTCCACAGCCTCTCTGGGTAACCTGTTCAGTGTGCACTGCCCTCCTGGGGAAGAAGACTTCCTGTGTCTGCTGTAGGACAATAGATGCTAGACCCTGTCCCTTCATTCTCCAAGGCCCATTTATTGTGAAACAGAACGAGAGGTTTTTGAGGAGGTATAGTTTTGTCTGATACCACCTAACATTTCTGACTTCGCTGGAAAAGCTTGTGAAAGGCGGGATTGTCTTAAGCTGCAATGGCACTTAAACTGGACCTTGAGGGAAGGAGCACAAAAGAATAGCCTGTAGATTATGCTCTTTTGCCTGCACTTCTGGGAATGAAAAAGTGAAACTTAAAAGTTATCTCTTTGACTGACAGAAAGTTCTCACCAGGACTGTGGTATGCTTGCTTTTGCTCTCCCAGTCCAAATCCTAAAGTTTCTTGTTCATTTGCTCAGGTGCTGACATTGATTCATTGACTCTCTGTGGTTTTGTTGATATTTTGAGACATTGTCAAACAATGAAGAAAGTGGACATTAGGCTACCCATATGTAAAACTGTCGGAAGTCTTTGGTACAGTAAGTTGTATGAATTTGGAACGTTGAAAGCATGTGACTTACACAAGAGAACCATTAAATCTCAGTGGCGTACTCAGGATGACTAGGTGACGTTGTTGGGTTTTACTTTTCTTGGAGAATACTTTATTACATAGTATTTTTAATGTACAATTTTTTTTTCTTTTGCTGAAGGGACAATGGAGACCGATCCAGGCACCGAGCTCCCCGGAATGCCCGCATGTCTGCACCATCGCTGGGGCGCTTTGTCCCGAGGTAAGGCTTGTCCATGTAAGAGTAAAAGGGTGTGGAAATCCTGGAGGTACCAGTTGCAGTACAGCTCTCTGGTGCTTTCAGATGGATTCCTTTTCTTGCACAGGGCTGCTGTATTCTTCATTTGCAATTTCTGGGACCCCTGAGATGGCACGTTAGTATGATCAGCTTGTCCTGTGACATTTGAAGGACAGCATGGTCTTAGTGCTTCTTACCTACAGGCTGGGGCTATGGTGTGAATGGCAGAATAGGAAGAGAAAAGAATCTGATCAGAGATTCTCAGCACGATGTGCTGGTTTGAGATTAGGAAGCTATTGTGGGAGGTAAAGGATTTGCTTAATGCTGATCTTCACAGCCACGCTGATCAGAGGAGGATCAAATTTAACTTGCCTTTTGTTTGAAGCAGTGAAGTGGTTGGCTAAGCAGAGGAGTCCAGCCTTTTCTCTACTATAGTCTGCTGGAATATAGTCATGTTTCCTCAAAGTAATTGCAGTTGCTGTCCAGGTCTGTAGTATACTGGGATGTCTTTCTCCATGTAAGCTTACTCTCTTTGTTTTGCAGACGTTTTTTGCTGCCAGAGTACTTGCCTTATGCTGGGATTTTCCATGAACGGGGACAGCCTGGCTTGGCCACCCATTCCTCTGTCAACAGGGTTTTGGCAGGTAATGAGATTTCCTTGCTTGCAGTAGTCATGTATATTAATGGTGTTTTTCTCGTGAATCTGAGCAGGGGAGGATTCATGAGGAAAAGTCTAATTCTAACTTTTGAGGTTCTATTTAAGTTGCCTGAAACAAGAGAAAGGACTGTTGGAGTGATGTGGTGAGCTGTCATTCAAATGCTTGGGCATTGCAGATTCTACACCTCAATTATGTGTATGGGACTCTCTGCATGAATTGGGGAGGGGTGCTGTTAACAATTCTCCCTTTGTTTAACTTCCTCCCCTATTCCTAGATGTCTTTTTCTTAACAACCTGACAGACTAATGATCAGCTTGCTGCAGGTCCTTCTAATTGAATTATAGGGTGCCTTGTTCGTGTTCCGGCTGGCAAGATGCACACAAGGCAATGCGGGATTCAATTAGGATCTTAATAAGTGCATATTAAAAAACTCAGCTGCCACCACATACAGCACACAGGCATTTGGGAGCCTTAAAGGGCAGGCGGAGGTGGGGAGAAGACGACGACTATGGCACTCTGGCAGTTCATGAATGAGATGGTTATAGATGACACATCTTGAGGGTGGGTCTTTTTTGGCTGGGTCTGAGTTGCTCTGTAATTAACCCCAGTGCAGGGGAGTCATCTTGGAGCTTGGGGGAGAATGAGGGATGATGTATGGACAGGTAGGTTGGGATGTGGTTCTCTTCCTTCCTGTAGGTGATCACAGGACCACCACTGAAAGGAGTGCTGAAAGGTTTCTCACAAGGCTGTGCCCTTTTCCTTATCCTAAGGCACGATCAGCTATGCCTAAACAGGCACAGTGGACAGGATTTATCTGACCTGTTCTTAAGAGTCTTCATTGGAGTTTTCCCAACCATTCTGGGGCAGAACTGCTGTTGGTTTTGCATGGCTGATTTAGTATGGCAGTGGTCTTGTCTTTGACAACAGATTTCTGGCATCTCCCGGACTTTTGTCTCCCCGGACATTTTGGTTTGAGTGCATGGTAAGAGCTCAGCCGAATGCTAGCCTTCAAAGCACCTCTACTTTTTTTCCTTAGGAAAGAGTGGAGGTAGCCTGCAGCTTTAGCTGATGCACGTACTTTCTCGTGCTTGCTGCCTGTGTGGGCTTTGGCTGTTGGCACGTGGAACAGCACACTGGCAGATAATTACTCACTGCCAGGCAACACTGCAGAACTCTTTGCGTCCCCACTTTGCTTGGAGACACCTGCCTTCAACCCTCCTCCAGCCCTCCTTGCAGTTTGCCTGTTCCTTAGTGGCAGGGAAACAGCCTGGCTTTTTCTCCTTGCAAGTTTTAGGGAATTTGAGCCCCAAAATACACATGCTTGCTGTTTGTTGAGTGTATGCCAAGATTAACAAAAGAAGGCAGAAGTTGTAATTGTGGGACTTTAAAACAAACAAGATCAATCTTTTTTGTATGGCACTGTGCTGAGCCTACTTAAGGCAAGGTTTGTTGGCTCCTGCAGTGTTGTGGAACCTCACACTGGAATGTCTGGGACTCCACAGTAAAGGCTTTTATTGACTTAAATATAAAATTAATTCTCCTAATGCAGCAGCTGCTTGTGATAAGTTGTTTTAATATTCTGTTTATTTTAGTCTGTACCTACGCTTTCAGCTTTCAAAATGTTTTTTACATTTGTGCTCAAAAACATGTTAATGTGTTGCAGAAACCAGGAGAGTTGAAGTTGTAAATATTAGGTGGAGGCATGAAAGATGAGAACTAGAAAATGAAGGTGCAGTTGTGCAATAGAATTTCTTGTGTTCATTATGTTGGTCAGCAGCATTGTCGTTTTCAACATTATATTTCAGACCCATTGAAAGTTACAGTGCTGATGGTTACACTTTCCTTTTTAGTTAGCCTGTGCCAAAGCTTGTGGTAGTTATTTCTTCACTGTCATGGTGAAGAACCTCTACTCAAGCTCAAAAGTACTTTAACCTTGGCCTTATAGTTATGGGTGAGGTTGCCAGCCTTGGCTGAGGGAAAAATCAATCACCTGTCTTCCTATTAACACAAGCTAATCTAAGCTTGAGTGCCTTAAATTGCTTCATCCTACCATGTATCCAGACTGTAATTTCTGAATTATGTTTAAATGCATAGGTGCCAAATGTATTTCTTATGTAACCTCTACAGTATTTGAGGAGAGATGCCAAAAAATCTCTGTATTCCTAACCTGACAGTTTTCTAAAAGCTGACAATAGACTTCTGTGATCAAGTATGAGTGAGAACTGTTGTTTGGGCAAATACACCCAATTACACTTCTGTGGCTGTCCCCTGCCCCACTTAACTGCTGTATGTGGGGAGGAAATAAAAGCAGCAGACAGCGATCTTAGGGGTGTGTGAATTACTTTGGTGTGCTGACTAAATTTCTTAATGTCAAAGCTCTTGCTGTCAGGTTCTGTCCACGATTACTTTCAGCTGTCTGCTTTACATGAACAGCTTTCTGTTGTTTAAGTAACGTTAAGCTTCATGCTAGGGAAGACTGCCTTCTGAATAAATTCTTAGAGCAGTCTGGTTTAACGAACCACTAAAAATTACAGGTTATCTAAGCAGACGGGCTAGTACAGCAACACAGTAGGCAGAATGACTGACATGCCAGGCAGGACTTAGGTCAGGATTAGAGAGTCCTTTGTACTCGTCAGGGACTGGTGGCCATCTCTGCTCC